GTTTTTTTGGTCATTTTTACTAGAATTCCTTAATGCATTATGATAAAATCTCCCAAAGCATTTTATAGTGATAAAATTGGAATTAAGATGCAGCGCAATGTGGAAAATCAGCTTGATACTTTGAAACCAGAAGCAATGCCAGAAGGGATAAGCATATTCAAGATCTCCACGTTGAGTTTGTAAAAGTACACATATATACATGTGTGTGTGAGATGAGGAACACTTTCTGCTCAGTTCTGGTGTCAGTGGTTATGCATGGCACATAATACATTAAAAATAATAATTAAAAAAGAAAGCAAAGCATTTGCCTGTTTTTTTAGGTGAAAGGCAGATCCATAATTCAATGTTTTATTACAAGGACAGTGCCTTTAAAGTGTTCTTTTTCTATCTTTACCACCCTGCACTACCCAAGAGAGCTAGGGAGCTTTTCTGCTCTCTCCTCTCACAGCTGGGGCAGCCGTCAGCAGCAAGAGCAGGAACACCCTCTACACCAGAGGCGGTTCTCCAGGGGAGCAGGAGAGCTCTGGGGAGCCCTGTGTGTAAGAGCAGGCATTATCGCCAGCCTAACTTGGTATCAGGTACCTGCACAATTGTTCAGGTCCAGCTGGCACAAGGCTGCACACCAGGACTGTCTGGTAAGTCTGTTACGCACCAATAACTCTCTGTGAAAGTTGTCCCATTTAATAAAGTATCATCTAGGCAATGTCTGAAAAGAGAAGAGGTTTGGGATCTTCACATCTGGAACATGTACATCTCGGTATCAACAACATCAATGTTTTGCTTAGCACAGCCCACTTGCTGCTGAAGCCCAGGACCATACTGTGACAGCAAAAGGAGATTCCAGCAATCCAGCGTCACCTTGCACTGTGTCTTGCAAGAGGATTATGTCCCAGGCATAATTTCTGGTCCCCTGCTGAGATCAGACTGCCTAAGTAGCAAAGACCTGGCTGGCAGGAGATTAAAAACAGTCTCTCCCTAGAGTGCTCAAAACTTCACTGTCCTAAAGGTGCATATTTCACCAGCTAGTATGGAAATTCAATTTCCATCAGTCTTTACATACAGCAGGGAGGCAGAGGAAGCTGCGAAAAAGACAAGATTCCCCATTGCTGTGTATTTTTTCCATTTAAGTAAAGCTGATTTGGGTTGTACCAGCACAGCCTATGTATATTATACCCCATAGAAAAAGAGACTACACATTACCTTGTATGTGCTCTGAACCCATCCAATAGTCCTGTGCTCTTGGGAAACTTCTTTTGCTTTCTTAAGCCTCTATTTCAGCACATCCTTGTGGGTTTGACTGGTTTGGGGTTTGGTTTTTTAAAGAAACACTGAAGAGATGATACGGTTCATTTTGGCAACCAGTTTTTAATAGAAACATATAATACACCTTCTCAAATAAATATTTTATATAGAGACAAACACTCACAATACTCAAACCTATGCAATGTTCCAAAGCTCCAGTTCTGTTTAAACAGTGCAAGAAGAAAAAAAAAATCATCAGCACAGGAAGAATGGAAATGTGAGCCTTCTAAAACATAAATAACATAAATAATTAGACTAGTTCTGTTGTGTCCTTACAACTCAAATACTGACTGCCTCAACATGTTAACCAGTTGCGTTCTTACAACACAGCTGCAGGGGCAAGCAGAGACAATGCACATTCACTGAGTGTATCACCAGCAACAGAAGTCATTCTGAGAGAGATCCGACTGTGATACTGCAATATATAGACGGGATAACACCACCTTCTCTGGAATCCAAGCTAAGACACCTTTGGAAACTACTATCTGGTAGGATTGTTAGTGTTGAATTGCTGGTATGATTCAGGTAGGTGCTTGACCATTTGTTGTTAATTAGAAGCATACAACCTCAAGGGTAATATATCTAACCTTCAAGTCCACACACTTGTTTTTCTTGACTTGCTATCAAGAAGTAACTTCAAAAACATTCAGTTTCTAAAGGGATTTACTGAAGAGCGGAAAAGAGTAAAGGATGGTAAGGATCAGAGATGAGAAATAGTCTTGTGCCTGCCTATGTGATACAGCTTTCAGAAGACAGTGAAACAGAACTTCAGGCTTTTCCTTTCCCAGTATATGACAGAACTGACAAAAGAAAGAAAGAAAAACAAACAACAAACTTGCACTGCAAAACTCACTCTCCCCAGCTCACATGTAGAGAAGTTTTTGGATTTGCAGCACCAAGGGTTGATGAAACAGCGCAGTTTAGATTCTGTATTTCTTAAACTCAAATGAGCCCAGGCTAATTCACAAGTCAAATGCATATACTTTTTCACTACTGCAAAAAGAAAGAGCCTCTTCTTTCTCCCCAAAGTAAGAGGAGAGGAAGAACTTTCCCAAAGGAAAAGCTAACACTGCTTTAGACCTGAATCCACATTAAAAAAAAAAATAAAAAAAATTGGTAGACTTTAAAAACTTTAAAACACCGGCACACCAGAATAAATTATGTAGTTCTTCCTTTGTTACTTGACCAGGCAGGACATAAAAGCCCCTGAAGCGTTCGAGCATTTCGGGCTTCTGATGACGACTCTACTTAATTCAAGATTTACCATCTGGCATTCTTTGCTTGCTTGCCTCATTTTTAAGAGCCTAAGTTTCTGTCTGCACAAGTTGCACACTGCTTTGCCATTGCTAAGTCAGGAACTAAAATATTTGTGAAGCACCTTGCAGCCAACACCATACACTAGCCCTTGACTGCCACAGCCCAGGATGATCAACAGATCCAACGCACACACCAGATTAAGAAAGGACTAAATAAACTCAGGCTTCCAGTGCAATGTTGGTTTGATCCCACACATAGGGGAATAAAAGACAAATGAGGTAACTCATGTAACTGCCACCTCGCTCCACGAGGTCAGCAATCCTAGACTTTGTTCTCCAGCTCTCTGTGCCAGTAGTAGTCAGGATAACAAACAGCAGGATGTGCAGTTACTACTGGTTTATGCACTCTCACGAGTTCAGGTCACTAAGGGTAGGAGGGACAGGAAAAGAAACGAACACTTCTTTGTATTTAGCATTTGGCAAACTATGTGCCCACATGCCTGACATGGAGAAGCAGCAGGGGGAATCTGATAGCTTGTCAGTCACAATGTGGAATGATTTGATGCAGTGCTCTATTATTAACATGTGGACATGTGCACACAGGACCCTCCACCACCATTCTTGGAGACTCCTACACTGTCAAGTGCCAGTCTCCCCTCGTAGACAGGCTGAGGCTAAAAACAGGCAGCACCTTTCAAGCCTCCAGCCTGTCCCCTTACACTTGACTCAGACTTAACTTTCACCTCAGTCATCAAATCTTCTTGGAGTTGGAATCTGGTAAAGAACATCTTTTACAACTCACGTCCCCTCTACTCTTGTGCTCAGGAGGTTGCCAGGGCAGGCAGTGATTATGCAAATTGCACTCTAAATTTTATGAACAAAGTAAAATTTAGGTAGTACTGGTAGTTCGTACAGCTACAGTGTCATGTCTTCCTATTTAGAGACATCTGCTCTGTTTCTAAAGTGAATTGTAATATCCCTAGATATTTAAGAAAATAAAAGCCAAAGCTATGTTTTCTGCAAGGCACACTACAGAATAGGATGCACACTTTCATGCCCAGCTTTGTGGCAATACCAGCAGAGCTGCAACAGTCCCAACCCAGCCAGCCGGCACAGAGGCACAAGTGAAGGGGGGAGCAGGCTGTACCCAGGATTGGGCAGCACAGGCTCTATGAGGTCTGTGTAACAGAACAGGAATGAGGAAGAAGGCACAGTGGACGAAAAAAAGTGTATTTGTCTCTAAGTCTAAACTGAGGAATACTGAAATATGGACTACCTGCTAACAGAAAATGGATCAGCTAGGAAACTGTGAAGGGTCTATGTGGAGCCCAGAGAGAATTAAAGTTCCCTACCAAGCACTCATAGCTCTCAAACTCTGGAGAAAGCTTACAGAAAAGAGCAGCCTTTTCTTTCCAAAGCCAAAGATACTCCACATGCAGTCAGCAGCAGCTAAGGGAAATCTTCAATGTCAGTATCTGTACCTGTTTCCATTATACATTTATGCATTATGAGCTATGACCCTAAAAGCTACATTTAAGGACCAGCTCGCACTGAGGGTGTTGATCAGGGATTAAGAAATGAGTAATAGCAAGCAAGTCAGTCTCTAGTACGACTGGATTAAAAAAAAAAAAATACTTGAGTGTTCCTGATAATAGTCAGACCAGCAGGAAAAACGTTTTTCGGAGAACAAGTAGAACTTTGGTAGCAATCAATTCTAAAGTGCCTTATGCTTCTTAATTCCTGTGCAAACAGTCCTGTAGAGGCAGAAGCACATTTCAAGAGTGTCAAGATGCTCAGTTACATAACACGTGACACAGCAAGGAGGTTCCAGTTACCTACTCTGCTATGATGCACAGTACAAAAGTGATGACAGAGACTGCATTCCTAGCTTCCCTTCAGCACTTCATTTCTCTTCCACCCACTCCTGTGGTATGAGCATTAAGAGACACATTCAGTCTCTGACCATGGTCTCCAATGTTCCTCTGTCAGACAAAGCATATGAGGAAGGAGGATCTACATCAGACGGTGCCTCATTGTGGCCTTACTGGCCAGACCAACAAGGAACAGGCTGGCAGGTTCTGCAATCACTGTTTTCTTCTCAAACACTTTTGCTCAGCAATGTCTCATTGCATAAAGGTGGTGTATACACAGCTATTTTTAAGAGGGGCTTTTCTCTTGGCATAGTTACCAGGCTGTGGAAACACTGCCACTTCCTGTGGCAGTCTGCAAGCGCAGTCCTTCTGGAATGCATTGATCAAACCACGCAAAGACCTGATCCTCTTTGCTCTACTTGCCAAAAGGCCTAATCCCCTGTCTCAGAAGGGCTTTCTTCCTCCTGGCTGAGCAAGGCTTACTCCTCTGTGGAACTGGGAACTTCCTAGTGCCAGCTGATCACTGCAAGCAGGAGAAGGATTGAAGGTGGTCATTTCTTACTCAAGTCAGTCAAGATTTCAACCCCATTTTTTCCATCATCTGTTCATACACTGTCCATGCCATTGCTGCCATCAGAGTCCGCCTGAGGGCCCGGGGCACACCACCTCGGAAAAAGCCAGCCAACCCAAATTCCTGCAACAGGAGATAAACAAACAGCAATCCATCACAACGGGCCCCTAGTGTTTTAATTTCTCATAATTTATTACATGGAGCATATTTCAGCTCAGACTCAGATCGCTTTCTGAAAGACCCAGGCTTAAACAACATTTAATGTTTAGGGAGAATCTGTAGCACTGTGCAATTGCAGGGCTACCCAAGAAAGCAGGAAGAGCAGTGAGTGGAGAAGGGAATGTCAGGATGGGGACAATGGATGGGGAAAGCCACAGTCAAGCCCAAAAAAGAGAAGGCGAGAGTGTAACAGTTTCAAGACACTTCAGGAAAATAACTTGTCTTTGTTTTACAGCTTCGTATTTACAAAAGTCACTTAGCTGTTCTGTAAAAACTGAGATTTCTAAGTACTGAAGTAAAAATACCCAAAACATTCTGACATGAGAAAAATGTACCATGCACAAAAAATCTATGCATAAATAATGAGGTTCCTGTTTAGGAATAGAGACCAATGTGGAAACAAAGCAAACCTGTCAAGGTCCACCCTTCTGAGGGCAGGAAGGGAAAGGTGGGCTTTGAGTACATCTCCATCCCATTCCCGGGATACAGATCTAGGCATTTACTTCTCTTGCACTGTCCAAAGGGCAAAGAATTGTTTTGTATCCGAAACCTGCATTTCATGCTACATACTAAAGAAACCCTTTGCCACAGTGTGGTAATCACAGATGTGTCTACACCGATAAAACAGAGGCGGCAGCAGCTGTAAGCACAGCTCCTTGAAGCCTACATACTAAGCTAAGCTGAAATAAAATTAAGATGAAATAAGCTAAGCACTTTCCATCACGGCCAGTGTAAGAATCAATATGTAACAGACAGAACTGAAATGAAATCATTCATCAGCCTGAAACATGAAGCAGGTCTGTGCGGAGAGATGCTTGCTGGAATATCCCAACCTTTGTGCTTCAGTACTCTGAGCATGCTCTCCAATTGTCCATCATCTGTAACTTTGTGAAAACACATAGAGGACTGAGGAATAGCAAGAATAATCAGCAAGCAAGTTCACTGCCTTGTAATCCATTCAAGAGGAGCAAGAAACACATCTGACTAGGGACAATGGCCCCTCTAATTACAAGGAAAAGCAAGGAATGGATTGAAGCTTCCAACTGCCTTCAGATCATCAGAGTACTTTCCAGTACTGCACATAAACCAGTGATAAGAGATTCAGCCTCAGTCTTCCACAGCATGACCCACTTCAGCTTCTGAAAATGCTGACACTGATTAGCCTGACTGCAAGAGCATAAATCACACTCCTTCACCTCCTTTAAAAAGCAACAACTTTCTTAGCACAGCTGTACTTCAGGCATGGAGATCAGAAGCGAGGCTGTGATTGTGCATATTAGAAGGGATTCACCTCACCTTGTATATGAAGGCAATGGCCTGGCTTGTCCTGTGGTACTTTTGGGGCGACAGCTGCATGTGTGTTTTGATGACATCAGCAGGCTGTGTTGCCAGCGAGGCCAAGATTCCCGCAAAGATCCCACAGCCAAAATTCAGCAAGGGCACGAGCACTGGATCCAGCTGGTCTGCAACAGAGCAAAGGGCATGCACTCAGACACAAAACAGGCCAGGAACGCTCATGCTGTGTGACAAAGTGAAAACCTACTGAATGTTTAAATCAACGTCAGTCTAAGAGAAGTTAAAATCCATGCAGGGTAGAGAAACCTTTCAAGGAGAAAAGTAGCTAGTAGTCAAAAGTTAACACTACAAAAAAGCCTCACTTGCTGGGGAACTGAATTTGACAGGAACTCAGAAAAGGAAAGATTGTGCAAGCATTGCAGCAGCCAGTTCTAACATCAGAGAAGCCCCAGTTTAGTGGAAACTGATCAGTATACAAGACAACCAGCAGCAGAAAGCACAGCTGAAGACATCCTCTCTTTCAACTGTTCACTAACCCACCTTATGCACCAGTTTTCATAAAGACAATCAATCAATTTAGAGTCAATTTCCACTTCTACACTGACCTGAGCTACAGGTCTACAAGTTCTCCACAGGAAAATGTGGATGTCCCACGTAAAGCCCTACAAGAGACTAACTTAACTACTGAGGTAGAGGGCAATAAGCAGAGCATGCAGGCAGACAGCTGCAGGGCAAGAGATACAAGAAGAGAAACATTTTCCATTACAGCCTCCAATGTTCAGCCTTACCCTGAGGTGTGAGTTTTTTGGTCTGCGTGTAGAACATCAGGTAGATGCCAGAGAAGGGTGCATCCCGCAGCAGCGTTGCGGTGAGCCCACTGAACATGCCACGAGCCCCTTCCGTCTGATAGATATTCTTCAGAGCTCCATACACACTCCCATAGCCAAATCTTCCACTCTGCAAAGGTAGACAATGGTCAGTCATCTATGTGCCAGGCATAGGCCAAGGAGCCCTACACACACTCTGAGGCCAGTGTCCAAACAAATGGTAGTATGCGCTCAATATGATGCCTGACATGGCAGCACAGAGGACAGCCCAAGGCAAAAAGTGGGTTTGACCTACCTCAGCCTTTGAAACAATCCTTCAGGGAGGTAAAATATGAAAGGTGCTACACAAATGTTGTATACAACTGAAACTTAAAAATCTCAGGGTGAATTCTGTTTCATCTTACGCTTCTTGCCTAAATATCAGTGTGTGGCATTTCCTGCACAATGTGTGAACTAGGATGCAACCAGGACTACATCCCTGGCTATACCCAACTGGCAGCAAGCTTTTCCAGACAGAAGAATTTCTTTTTCATCATGAGGAAGGTGTGTGACATCATTAGCAGGGAACTATTTAGAAAGTCATATTCACCTCATATCGGGTCTTCACTACAGTCACTGGCAACATGCAAATCCCAGCAACTGCACGTGCGGTGGCACCCAGAAAGACAGACTCCAGGGCTGTGGGTGAACGGTCCACTAGAAACTTTTGCTTCATCATGTACAAAGTGCTGAAGTAAATCCCAACCCCAGGAATACATCTTGCAAAGGACTTCAGAAGAAACATAAGCAGATGAAGAAGAAAAAGCATACATAAGACAAAATGTACTACAGAACATTTCAGAGACTGTTAAATTTGACAGGAAGTTTTGTAGAAAACAAACAAAAAAAAATCACTAAAGCTAACACGCTGAGGAAAGAAGACAAGGTAAAAATAATTTACAGCATCGAGAGTCAATTGATTCAAATGATGCCAGGATTTAATGCATTCCTCAACAGTAGTTTTCTAAGAACAAGATATTCCAAAACAAAATGAAGTTAGTGCAGTTGCCACTCCACATCTGCAAAAGTATTCAAGTGTCCAGCTGCTCAGGACTGCAAAACCACAGGGACTGCCATGACCAAATCACTGGAATTCACAACATTAACTCCTTAAAATAGGATTTAATCTAAATTACATGGTTTCATTCATAATTGTATAAGAGTTGGTTATTTAAATCCAGGCAGCCATAGTTAGTAATAAACAACAGATTTATTTATCTACTTATTTTTAGAAGTCAGGGTTAAAACAGCCACTTACTGGAGAGACACCTTTCCAGAGCCCCAGAAGACTCTCAGTACGAACAACCCTAAAGAGCAACGTTACCATCCCAGCACGACTGGACCTGAAAAGATGACAAGACAGGAACTGCAGAGACAACCTGCTTCTGCTCTCTGGCAGATGTACTCTGCAGCCACCCCCTTTCACTCGTATCTCTGTGCATTACCCCAGCACCTCCGAGATGCTCTTTCTCAACTCAGCCTGCTTTTCTTGGTCACTCTTGCCAGGGCTTCTCCATCACCTTCTGCTTCCCGACCACTTGTAACACACATTAAAGGCCTCTCTCATTAGCATTTTTAGCCACTCACTCCCTTTGTTAGCAGCAGCACACATAGTCGTGGTTGACTACACCTAGAAAATGCGAGCAGCTGCACACATGGAAAAGTTATGTGACAACCGCCCAGGATTTTTCAGGCAGAGGACATCCTGTGAAACTGCATGGCAGCCACTCCAGCAAACACCAGTCTCTCAGATAAGTACAGACAAATGCTGAGTTTACATGTTATTAAATCAGCATTCACAAGAGCAGCCATTTTCTCTCTTCTGGAGCAAAATATCAATCTTTCTCCATGCTATAAAAACATACCTCCTATGTCAGAAGGACTCTCAGTATTTGAATTACAACCACGAACTCTAAGCCCCAGGCAGAAGCCTATGATGGAGCACCCCCACAACCCCCATGCATACACATCCCCACTCTCTCACCCATTCACAGCAGGCTGCAGAGTTTGCAGGCGGGTTTTCAGCAGGTCGAGGGGTTGGAAGAGGAGCGTGGAGCAAGTCCCACTGATGGAACCACACACAAAGGCCTTTAAGACTGGATGCATCTGGAAGAGGAAAAAGATGACTTTAAATGGCCATTTAATTAAGAATGACACAAGAGGAAATACAGCAGCTAGCATGTTGCATTTTATAGGAATAGAAGGCAAGCCAACTCCAGACGCTAAAGACTGCTGCTCAGGGCACCTGAAACTTTTTCAGACCTTTTCAGAGCCTGATCAAGTTTTACTGTGGTTTTTGGTCCCCCTGCCCTTCCTGGGAGATTGTCCCAGAACCTCCTTGCAATTTGGTGGTTGCAAAGAGTTTTCCAGATATCAAATGTATTAGCAGCCGTTTGCCACGTTAAAGGAAATGGGTGCCTCCTTCCCACTACCCCACCAACTGCCTGTGCCTTAGCGCCAACCCTATCCCCCTCTGCCTGGCACTCTGCCGGCAGTGCCTCCAGCCCTCCCTTCTCGTTGCACATCAAGGTCCCCGACTGCCACATGCGCTCGTGGGACTCTCTCTTAAAACTGCCCACCACTGAAACCCGGCTCAAACCCACCCAAAGCACAGCAGGGCCTGCTCCGCTAAGACCTGGTTTTCCTGGCCCCCTCCGAGCACTTCTCAGGTGATAGGGCCACAGCAGAGCGGAGATTTGTCTCTTAAAACATATAACGGTGTTTTGTTAATGAAAAACGAGTTTCCGCGCCACTCGGAGGAGAATCGTGGCAGAGAAGATTTCTGCAGCACGGTGTTTTCTGGAGGGG